GCGGTACGGCGCCTCGTCGCCTACCAGCCGCTCCTTCTTGTAAACAGCCAGCGGCGCACGCACCGCCTCCTCCTCGGGGCCGGCCCCGCCCGCCGCCGGCGCGGGCCCCGCCGCCTCCCTGCAGCGAGGCAGGGGAAGCGACCGCGCGGGTGGGGTCAGTGGCCGTCCTGCCGCAGCAAGAAGGAGTGTAACGTGCGGCTGACAGGGTGCAAGCGTGGCCTGCTCCAACCCGCCCACACCCCCACCGGCTGGAGCGTGCCGTGCAGCGGCCAGGCCTGCCAGCCTGCCTTGCAGAGCAGTGCCAGGCCATCTCTCTAGCCTTCCCCATACGATCAACCAGGCAGCTGCCTTGGTAGCAGCAGGCAACCCTCGGCAGCCCCGCTGCCGCGCTCACTGCTGCAGGCGGCGGGCCATGGCCTCGTCGTCCTCCAGGGGCGGCAGCTCGGGGGCGGCCGCCTCGCCAGCCCCAGCCGGCTCTGCTGCGAAGTACAGGTTCACCGCCTGCTCGACATTTCCGCCAGTGGCCTCCAGCATCGCTCGCGCTGTGGCCTCATCCTCTCCCGTGAATGCCATGAACTCGGACACCGCCTCGGAGTGATCTACCATTGCGGCAGGGCGCGCCTCTGTCTAGCTAGCGGCACCGCCGATCGCAGCTGCGTGTTGACTGCAACAACAGGCTTCCCACCGCTGCTGGGTGTTTGCTGGCGATCCCAGGATTGGCAGGCAAACGGCCCGCCCTTGGAGCGGCTCCCTGTTCAGCGTGGCTTGATCAGTGTTTCTGGCCCTCGTGGCAGCGTTGGCGATGGGCTGGCGATGAGGACCGCTGTCGCATCCAAATTTCGCCAATCAACTGGCGATGGCACAGTGGGGGTTGGTGAATTGCGGGGGAACCACCCTTGCGCCTGGCGCGGCGCAGCGGACGCATGCGGTGCCGCCGTTGCTTTGTCGGCACTTGCCTCCCTTTATGGGGGACTGGGGGCGAAGCCCCCAGAAAGCTGGCGCTTTTTTAACACTATGGAATGAAGTTCCTGAGGAAATTTGGCCATTTTCCCTCAATATATTGGCGATGCCAGTCATGGGGGATGGCGACGGGCTGGCGACCATGTCCTGCCGCCTGCCCTCATGGCCTTCGGCCAATCGCCAGCCAGAGCCGTTTTTTGCCCGATTTCGCCAGCATTTGGCGATTTCGCCAGCTTTCAGAAACACTGGGCTTGATGATGCTGGTGCCAGCTCAGCTCTGAAACCCTGTCGCTCTTCATGCCGGGGCGCTTGCGACTGCCACAAGCATCGAGATCTGCTGTACTTTGTGAGCAGACGGGACGTCTGGACGGACTGTTCGAGGGGCCCTCTCTGCCGAGCGCCCAGCGCTGCGCCGGCCTCACCCCCGCACTGCACACCATCATCAGGGCGCCCCACGCTGCCAGCTCTGCAGCTGACGTCCAGGGCTTGAGCCGCTAGCTTGTGTGAGTGCTGCACGCCGCTCAGGGGGCCGTGCCCGCGCAGAATCGGGCTGCCAGGGGCGCAGGGAGGCTGCTGTGGCCAGGTGTGAGGTCCCGAGCGGCAGGCCGCGGAGGGGGGTCTGCCGCGCCGCCAGGTGCCGCGCGCCAGCTGTACTTCGTGCCCTTACCAGCCCATGGTGCCACCAAGCGTCCTCCCCGCTGCTCCACCCCCGCCAGCTTACCGTCCCACCCCTGCAGGCCCCGCAGCGCAGCACCCCGCTGCCCGCCGCACGCGCAGCGCAGGCGGTGGTGGCCCGGCGCCCCGTACCGTTTGTGGCAGCCGCAGCGGCAGCGCGGGCCGACGCCATGCCGCCGGCGTTGACGTGGACGCAAGAGGTGCCTGCCCCCCGCTGGCTGCAGCCATGGCTTCCTGGTCGCTGCCCGCGCTGCCGCCTGCCAGCGCTGCCGCCGCATGCCGTTCCCTTGGGGCCGCCGCCACAGCCTTCGCCACGCTGCCCCGCCCACCTCATCCACACCCCTACTGCCCCCCTGACTGGGCGCCTGCTGCGCGGCCGGCCCCTGCAGGAGGATGAGCAGCTGCGGGAGCTGGTGGCTGTGCACGGCACCAAGGCCTGGGCCAAGATTGCGTCGCTCATCCGCACCAAGGGCTCCAAGCAGTGCCGCCGCCGCTGGAAGAACTTCCTCAACATGAGCGCCAAGACGTGCAGCTGGAGCCCCGAGGTGGGCGCGTGGGCACGCTGTGTGCTGCGCGGCGGCGCGCTGGTGGTGTGCGTGGTTGGTGGGCGCGGTGGTGGTGGTGATGTGGGTGGGTGGTGCTGGTGCTGGTGGCTGCGGTTGATGTGGTTATGGTTGTGGTTGGTGAGGTGGTTGTTGTCGCTTGGTTGTTGTTGGTTGGGTGGTGGTGGTGGTGGTGGAGCAGCGGGAGGTGTGAAGAGGCAGGAGGCAGGGCAGGCAGGGCGAGCGGCCCGGGGAGGCAGGGCCGGCGAGGGGACCGGATTAGGGGAGGGGCGCCTACCGCTTCCGCCCCGCTGCGGAAGGCTGGCCGGGCTGGCGGGCGCTGAACCTCCCGCCGCGGCTCCCGCGGCCCGCGCTGCTGCCACGGGGTGCAGGAGGATGCGACGCTGATTGACGCGCACCGCCGCCTGGGCAACCGCTGGACGGAGATCAGCAAGATCTTCGGGGACAGGTGGGTGCCGCGCCTTTGTGTCGCTCTGCATGCCTGCTTGCCTGCTGGCTTGTGTGGGCTTGCCGTCTGGTTTCAGCGATACCAAGCTTGCAGCACAGGCTTCTGCCTGCCCTGCGTGCGCGCACGTGTGCCGCCGCCGCGTCGCTCCGCTGGCGGGGAGTCCACACGCAGCGCACACGAGCACCCTCGCCGGAGCTGTCCCCCCAGCTGCCCGCCCCGCACACCTGCTGAGTGCCGCTCGCTGCCTGGCGGATGGGCGGGTGCCTGCAGGACGGACAATGCGGTGAAGAACCGGTGGCATGCGCTGATCCGCAAGCACCCAAACCTGGACCGAGGCGGCGGCGGCGGAGACGACTCGGACGGTGGGCGGGGTGGCGCGGCTGGGGCGGGGCCAGGGCAGGGCAGGGCTGGGTGTTGTGGCTGTCGCACCGTGCAGAGAGCTCTGAACATGGGCTGGTGTGGCGTATGGCTGAGGGGATTTCCGGGTGCGAGGGGAAGCTGACGCAGCCGCTGGGCGTGGCCCCGCCCGCCGCTGCTGCAGCGGCGCCGCGCAGCAACAAGCGGCGGCGCACGCGGGCGAGCGCGGGCGTCGAGGATGATTCCGACCAGCTGGATTCCGGGCGGTACGGCCATTCCATGCAGTACACCAGCAGCGGCGGCATCTCGGCAGCCGCCATGCCCACCCCCTTTGACCGCACGCTGACCGCCGCGGGCGGCGGCAGCGGCGGCTCGGGCATGGCGGCGGCGGCTGCCGCCGCCGTGGCCACGGTGGCCGCCAACCAGCGCGCGGCGGCGGCGCAGACGCGGGCGGCCATGCACCAGGTGCAGCAGTACGCGGCGATGCAGCAGGCGGCGGCGGCGCAGGCGTGGCAGGCGCAGCAGGAGCAGGCGGGGCAGGCGGCGGCGATGATGGCGGGGCAGCAGCCCTACTGCGGCCACCACCCGGGCGCCCCTCCGCTGCAGATCACCGTGGCAAAGGTGGGCGCCTGCACCCCGCAGCAGCAACCCCTACACACACCCGCTCAAGATGTCCTCCTGCTGCTGCTCCTGCTGGCCGCCGGCTGCCGCCGCCGCCGCCGCCGGCGCCGCTTCTGCCATCCCGGACGGCCTCCCAGCATCGCTGCCACGCTGCCCGCCCCGTTTGAGACCGGC